AAAATAGAACAGTATAAACATTGTATTGTAATTTCAAGCATAACACATAAAATTCGTTAGATATGATGACATAGCTAGAGTAAATACAATATAGTATCTATGCATTTTAATGCTTATCTGGGATGATGAAATTTGGCTATTTTATAAGCAGGAAGCGAAAAACACACAACCCTCTCGCACGACTAAACGCGGGATTCTGCGCAGACGCCCGCGAGAGACGAACTTTGGTGAACGTTAACAAATACATAGGAGTGCCATATTTTATATGTATATATAATAGACACACGCTTGGTCACAATCTTACCTGATGTTATGCGACGATGTGATCGTCGGCGATGGGACGCGTTTGCCTAAAAAATGCCTATTCACTCTAGCCTTGAATAGCCCTAAAATTTGCACGTTGCAAGTTTGCACAAATACAAGCATTGGGAAAGTCCAGTTTAACACCGCTCTCATTACCCGCGGGCTCCCAATATCCCACGTTCCCCTCAAGAAAATTAAACAACAATGCTTGCCAAAGTTACGAGTGGAACGTATTTAAAGTCTTGCTCATAAAATTGTCAGTAACGTTCAATAAGATTGGGTGTATTCGGTAGTAACGTAGTTTTATTCATGAAGCCTTATTGTGAAAATAAAAATTACGCAATACAATTCAAATATGTGATACTTATCGAGTTCTCGGAAATGAAATTTTTTTCGGATCTAAATAGCGTAACTATATTTGTTTTGTTTTCCAAACAAACCAATGTTTCAGGTCCTGTTGGGGAGATGCCACACGGGAGTTGTGTCGGCGTTGCGTCGTCACAACTGCGTTGATTTCAACCGACTGAGTGCCGCACGAGCTGTTCCGTCGACACACGCTATATCAATGTACCGTGTGGCATGTCGTTCTGTTTTATATGTAGTACAACGCAGTTGCGACGACGCAACGCCGACGTAACGACCGTGTGGCATCTCCCTTACAGTTGATCACGGCTGTCTGATATGGTGGTCCCACCCACTACGTTTCACTATAGTTATAAAATTCATTAATTTAATTACGTTTGTTTCTTTACCCAACAACATTTCAATTTACGCCGTAAGTTTTGATATTTTTTAAATTTTAACAATATGATTTTTCACTAAATTATATTAATAAGATATTAGGAATAAGTAATAAAACATATTATTAAGTACTACAGCAATCTAATGTTTACTTGGGATTTTTCATCAGAGGATTTACTGATGGTACGGAGAAGACATCTTGCCGTAACCATGGGACCTGTAAGGGGCCCAAACTGTTGATTCTTTTGAAAAAATAAAATGTACGCGATTTAGAAAATAATTTAATTTTCAATATATAATTTGTTGAAGTTGAAATCCTCATGTCCTTGCTGTTTTTACAGTTGCTTGAAAGATAATATACTTTTGCAAGCAAGCTAACTACCCTATTCGAGTAATTTGCTTAATTCTTTCAATCATTAAGGGTAGCAATCGTAATATTCGGACGGTTGGCGGCCAACACGCAATCGCACTCTTTATTGCTTCGTAGCCTTTTGTAAAATAACAATAGGTATTAAATAACTCCTTTCGATTGTTACTTCATTAACTTGTTGTTCAGTATGTCCTTACTGTTTTGCAAACTAAATTGTTTCAAAATTATTATTTCAATTACATATATTCATGTTTTTTCTAACACGACAATCATATACTTTTGTTAAAATACTCAACTAATCCGTTATTAGTATTGATACAAAGATCGAACAAATTTGTCACCACGTTGAGGCAGCAGACGCTGGTTCGAGTATAGTCAGATCAAAGCTATTTTTCTTTGTGTACAATAATATTTTTTGAATACTAAGTGATGGGACGAACAAGTCGTACGCCTCATGGTAAGCGGCATGCCTGACCATAACAGTTGCAGTGTGTTTCACAGCTTAAATGGCAAAAATGTGAGGGGCACTGCCACTGCGCCCATTACCCTGAGACATAAGTTGAAAAGTCCCACGTGCCTGTAATTTCACTAGCACCCTTAATGCATAATAATGTATGTATATAATAATAATAATAACGTACACACTCAACATAGCACGCACTAGGGAAACCCTGTGTGGCGGGTGCCATGGACACATATGTACATAGACAACTACAAATTACACCCAAACTCACGAGAGAATATTTCTCCCGGCCCGGGAATCGACCTGGGACCTCTGCGTGGCAGTCTGGCATGGTAACCGTTAGTCCACAGAGGCAGTTGAGTTGATGTATAGTTCTTCCTCTTTTATATAAGGAACACAATATAAAATTTATTTATTTATTTATTTAACAAACAGATGTTTGCGCAACATGCGCTTGATAGATAATTTAGTCTGAGCTTGTCTTACATGGAGCGTTCCAAAGACGAACTGCATGAAGGGTAAAAGAATTAGACAAAAAATCAGTGCGATGAGAAGGAATAGAAAGCTTAAGTAATTCGCAACCCGGCCGAGCGTTTTGAAATTGAAATGAACATTTAAGATAATCACGTGCAGCCGGGTCGAACAAGATTGAGAAAAGAGTGGTTAAAATTCTTAAGGACCTGCGTTCACGGATGGGAAGCCAATATAGTTGACAACGAAAAGCAGAGATGTGGTCATACTTCCACAGACCAAAAATAAACCTAATGCAGTTGTTAAGAAGACGATCTAATCTATTACACACACGTCAACACACGTAACACACGTCAGCATAATCAATCACAGGCAACACTAGAGCTTGAACTAGGAGAGTTTTGGTTTTAATTGGAAAATTGCATTACGGCATTTCAGTACGCGCTTTTTTTTAGTTCTTTCCAAATGATACATAGCAAATCTGTGTATTATAGTGCAAGAGAGGAAATGCTTTTCGATTAACATTGGACTATGTACAGGGGGCCCCACGGCGATGCCACACGAGTAAAAGTACCTTAAATACTGTAGATACAAAATGTTGCTGAAAAAGACTTCTGCATTCAAAGATTTTTATCGAAGAGAACCCGGTAAATGGGAAAAAAACACCTGTAATTGATTGAAATCAACTTTTGATCCACCTATATGGATCGATTATTATTTTCTTCCAAATAACAAAAAGAAATAACATTTAATTTGAAATTTTGTACAGGAAAATTAACATGTAAAATATTTAGTTTACAGGAACCGGTATAAGAGTGTGCAGAAGTTGCAAACTGAGCATAGACGTATTATTTTAAACATTCATCATGAAAAAATAAATAAACAACAAGAAGCGAAATTATCAAACGAGAGTCAATTTGTATTTGTATAGACATTCTCTATAATGGGACCATTTTGAGCGTTTGATAATTTAAATTGATTGTTAGTTGCAGTTAAATGTACTTAATCATTTTTATTACATGTTAAATTTTATGGTTTTCCCTTTATTTAATATGCCAAGAAGAAAACAACTTATTATTGAGGCTTTCGATCAGTATAGTAAAATTACAGCTGTTTTTTTTCGCATTTGGCAGGTTCGATTCGCAGTTGAGACAGGCTACTCTTCCTGCAATATGTGTCTTCGAAATATGTTTTTAACTCTCAAACAACGGTTTAATCCTCTAGGCATAAGTCATCAGCAAGATAATAAATTTTATGTACAAATGAATTATGTGCGTGTCTTTAGGACAACAATAAAGCCATCCATCAAATCTGTTCGAAATAAATCAGAACGACAATGTTGCCACTGCTTTATGAAATTATGAACAAAAGGTGTAATTTGTCATTTTTGCATAAAATGTGTAACCACTCGTAAACTTTTTGAACGTTTATTACAGTTATTTATGCGAATTTGGGCTATTGATAAAACTCTTTTACTACGGCCCTTGGGGTGCCATAAAAAATATTATTTAATTGTTCTGTCGAAATTACCCCGTAACTGTAAATTGCTTTCAAAATTGTATACTTCAGTATTGAAACGTTCGTTTTAATTTATGTTAAAGTAAGTTTATGATTAAAAGAAAAACAAATAAATTGTGAAATTGTGGAAACCATATTTTTTCGTTTGACAAAAATCATAATCTGATTGTTCTTAGATCCGATAAAACATTTATTATTCAAATTATAGACTTTGAAATTATGCATAGATCTCTGGAACTCTCTCCCAGTTACGATTAGACAAGCGCTAAATATGTTTGAAAATCAATTAAAGAAATTCTATTCTTTTCTATATGATAGAGTACAATAGTCTTATATAGCACAGTTATAATACACCTCTTACAGAGGCATACGAAAATTTATGTCCATTCTAATCTTAATTTATAAAATATGAAATTATACATTACAAGGTCAACTAATAAATCTATTCAAATGTAATGTCAGAAAATTTAAATTCATTACATTATGTAATATTCAATTATAAGCATATACATTATAATTCCCACTATATTATCATTCGAATATTCATCAACCGTGTAATAGCATTTTTTATCAATAGCCTTGACAATTCCCTCCTGAACATATCCAAGGATAGAATTTTTAACTTTTGTGGCAGTTTGTTGTAGAGTTTAGGCAACATGTAAAGGGCGCTTTTTTTCTTAAGAGCTGTTTCGGAAGAGGTCGTGCCAGTGGTGAACATTTGAGGTTTTCTAGGGCGTAGATTATATCCCGGAACGACCCCGTAGAGTTCGGGGTTAGATTTTAGAAATGTACATGATTCCAGTATGTATAAACTTGGGGACGTTAGCATTTTTAACCGTTTAAGGAATGGTCGACAGCTGTCAGAATGTGTGAAGTCCCCAACCCGCATTGGGCCAGCGTGGTCGACGATAGCCTAAACCTTCACCTGAGAGGAGAACCGTGCTCAGCTGTGAGACGCATAAATAGGTTAACGGTGAAGCATAACAAACTTGTCGACTAATTTTAGTCGTAGAATCTTTAAACATCTCTCCAGAAAAGTTGTCATTTTGCAGATGTAGCCTTTTTACACTAAGGATGTGACTTATTGTTTAAATTTAGAAGACAGGAATGACGGATCTCGCATTTTGGTTGCAGGTACCGCAAAACTTATGAGACGATGCGGCAACATGGGCCGAAGTGGTAGTGTCATGGAGGTATGTATACATATACCATTTCTATACGTATTTACTCATACCATGGACGAATAAGTCGAGAGGATTGCCAATCGTGATACAAGATAGCGTAGTTGGGTATTTAGTACCTATTCGTACAGCAGATATCGCGACGAGTGCTAAATAGCTATTTTTGTAACTAATTTATTTTGTTTAGTTAAGTAAATTAATTTGCTACTCCGCGAACCCAATGAATGTTAAATCGTAGCTACGCTTGTGTTGAATAAAATAAGACAAGCGCGACTATATAGGGCGCACTATAAGTTTCCGGAACTGGCCACTGACATAAGCAATATTTAAAAAGTCATTACAACATTTGAAAATGGAACTCTTTGGCTGTAGAATACAGTTTGTTTCATCTGACTGTCACTTGTTTTTAAATTGTGGCGTCATTTTAGAAATGGTTATCTACATCACCATGGATTTAACTCGTGAAAATTTTCGTAGTATGATTTTCTATCACATTAAGTGTAATTTAACAGTACAGCGGAGTTTCCCTCGGCTTCAAACTGCTTTTGGCGATGACGCACTTTGCAAGACGACTATTTATAGCTGGTATTGCAGAATTCAAACGCGGTCGTGTGAATCTCAGTGACGAATTTCGAGATGGTCGCCCGTCCACTGATCTGAACCACAAAAACATCGATGCTGTGCGCCGTATGATCAAAACAGACAGGCATGTGACATACCATGAGATTCGAGCATCTTTAGGCATAGGCATGAGTCAAATACAATCAAAAATACACAAACATTTGGGTGTGAAAAAGCTGTGCTCTCGGTGGATCCCACACAATTTAACTGAGGTTTAAAAACCGGATCGCGTCACTTGGTGCAACGCCATGCTTACCAGATTCAACCACGGGTCGTCAAATTTGGTGTGGGAGATTGTAACAGATGACAAAACATTGATTTATAGTTACGATCCCAAAACAAAGCAGCAATAGAAAGGAAAGAAAGAAAATAAATTTATTCAGCCCAAACACATGTTACAAGTACAATATGATTTTATGCTCAACTGCGGCGGAGCCACAGAGCTGGTTTTCAGTGGACCCTTTTTTGAATCAATTGAGCGTATGGGTCTTTCGAGATAAGCCGAAACCAACCAAAGTCGCGCGCGCGCAAAGTGTGCAATCAACAACCCCTGAGGATGCCTCGTGGAGAGGCGAAACAAGTGTCGGGTTTATTTCTAATGGTGGTTTGTGACTGTAGTTGCATTAAATAACTGTGTTATTTATTTTATCAATTTGATGCGGAGGGAGGGTGGGAAAATTAACTGCACGAAAAAAATATTCAACATAAGCGCAGCTATTATTCACGATTTAACCTTCACAGGGTTCGCGGAGTTGCAAATTAATTTAGTTTCATTTTTATTAATTTGTTTTACAATGACAAGCTACAATTTATTAAAGCTACTCTAATTTCTCTGATTACAAACAAAACAACTAGATGGCGCTTATTA